GAATTGAATGAAACTAGTGAATAATTTGAAATATCTTTTAAGTTGAAATGATATATAGGAAAATGATAGAGAGGAACAATGCAATTTCTTTATTATCAAGCATTAAATTTGTTTTACTAGTGACACATTTCATTGTTATATTGGTTCAGTATTCCTTACAGGAACAATCAAAAGCCAACATATTTGTCTTACTAATGATACATTTCATTGTTAAATTGGTCATTCTTCATTATAGGAACAATTAGAGGCCAACATCGCGAACAGAGAAATGATGTATACAAAACATAGGTGTGGTTCTAAGTCAATCCCTGTTAGAGTAGAAAATCTGGTACGTATCCTTGCACTTTCAGAATTATATTAGATTCTTAGCTTTATTTATTGAATATTTGGTCTATCGAATTAGGCACGAGAAAAGAAGATGCTACCTGATCTTGTACAAGGAAACTCACTATAATGAGAAAACACATGAGTAGATCTCATCTCAAGCTCAGTGTAATTATGTGAGTATATATTGCAATTTTTATTAACAAAATTTTAGAATACTATTTGTTATAATCTTATTTAATTTTCTAATAATTATTTAATTTTTTTTATATTTGATAGGAAAATATGATACAGACATAAGCCGATCACCTCTCACAATGTGACGCCCTCAAAATAATAACATTAAAACCCATCAACTTAGACATGCATTGGTATAAAAGATAAATATTCTTCTATTCATCAGAGTAGTTTCTTACAAAAATATTACATATTAACAACAAAAGCAAATGCCCTACGGGCTTACAGCTTTCCAAGTTAACACTTAGTTACAAAAAGAAGAGTGCTAACTCAACACATATTAAGCCATTGGCTTGAATTTACATGTAATACATCAAAAGAAAGTAAACAAAACAATCTGTCTGCCTCTAGCCTCCCAAGCTATGTTCTTGGAGATGGCATGCTACCTGTACCTGAATATGATATCCCATAAAGGGTGAGCCACAGCCCAGCAGAAATACACTAAACCAGCCATGAACAATGACTAAAAGATTAGCAGTTGATAGATAGTCAACACAGATACATCCGCTTATATCACATTCGATTTCATGACATTAAGTCCATGTTACATTTCATTTCTCATGTCCTTTCAAATTTTGATTTTTGAAAACAAGGCTCAACACCTAGCCGAATAACTTAATGAGGTTTAGACTCATCTTTAAAACACTTTCAAAATTCATGAGGGATACATAATGTAATGCTGTATCAATAACACATAAACCATTCCCACACTTTGCGAAAGATACACATTTCGATACTGTATCAACATAACATAGAATCACTTATATACTTTACAATTGATAACGATATACATTCTAGTGCTATATCAAATCAATTCAAACACTTCCATAAGTCTCAAATAATACACATTGTAGTGCTGTATTAATGAAACAAAACACTTCTACTTCGCAACCTGATACACATTGTAGTGCTGTATCACTGTCATACAAAATCCGGTTTAGAGGTCTATCCCCTATCTTCCCCTAAACCGTGGAGTACATCCCACATCTCCTTCCACACAACACATGTATATAAACATAGATCATATACAATCAATCAATACATAGAATTTATGTATTATCCCACTTGCTATATTCAATAGCATACTCAATCGATTAGTTTTAGTTTGCCTAATCATCATACAGTGTCTACAACAATCAAGACTATCCTCCACCAATAGCCCAAAGCAGTTATTTCTATACTGAAAATAAATACACCAAATGGATATATAATCAACATTTCAACTAGGTGAGCGATAAACGAAACTAACTACACCCTTTAATCCCATACACCTCCAATTCCAACATTCTCAACTTAATTCCTCTTTTCTTCAAATTAATTATATAAATTAATTCATCAATGTAATTAAAGCATTTCCCATAATTAACATCACAACCCTAAGGTTCTATTTTCACCAATAATCTAATATTGATCTCATTTCTCTATGCCAAACATGCATATAAGTTTATATAAACAAAACCTCAACTTTTGTAAAATTACACAAAGGCCCAAACTTTCTCAAAATTACCCAACAACCCCAACTCATCAAAATACTAAAATTTAAAGACAAAACTCATGAGAAGGAGTAGGATATCCCTACCTCGAAGTTAGAGCTCAAATGGGAAAGTTGAAGAAAACCAAAATGCTACAAACTCAAAGATCCACGAATCAAAATGGAGCCCTCGACGATCTACACACTTTTTACAAAGGCCTGAGGATAGTGAGACACTCTAACTAGATCAAACCATAGAGAAAAGGAAGTTTCTAGAGAGAGGAGCTCTCAAAACAACTTTTTAGAAAGTAAGAGAAAGAGAGAGAATGTAAAAAGTAATTTTAAAATGCCTAGCTGCTGACTGATATACGACATTCCCGCTCGAGCGGAGAACACAACGCTCGAGCGTCAAGAACAAAAAACTAGGTACGCTCGAAGGCAAGAAGGCCCGCTCGAGCGCCAAAACACAAGAATAAAGTACATCCGCTCGAGCGCGAAAACCAGTCCGCTCGAGCGTAGATTTCCCCCTCCCAGAACCTACACCAAAAAGTACCACCCGCTCAAGCGCCAGAGTACGCGCTCGAGTACTACCGCTCGAGCGTAAAGAAACCCACTCGAGCGTAAAAATCACACCTGCAGAAGTTTTGCAGGGACACAAAATACTGGGAGTGTGCAATCTCCGCTCGAGCGCAACAAGGCCAGCTCGAGCAGAACGACCAAAAACCTGGCAACAAGATTTTTAGACCAAGGTTCAACCCACCTGTTCGAAACAAGCCCAACACATCCTATAACTCAAACAAAAGGAATTAAAGGACGACAACATGATATATACAACTACCAACTCTACGGAACCGAGTCCGGAATACAACAGAGCAGTAAAGGGACAACCGAGATCGCTATACACAACCAAGATCAACTCCTTTGATTGTAGAAGAGCTATCAATCAAAGTCCTAAAGCCAAGGTCTGGCTATGTGAAGGGACTTGGCATGAGACCTTCATCCTCTATTAGGAGAACCACTACCATATATGTTGAAATAAATGATTATGTGAAGCGCCTTGAGATGCAAATAGAGACACAGAAGGAACAAATACAAATACAGAACAATAAAATAGAAGATTTTGAAGAGGGTAAGAAGAAGCAACGGGAGATAATGGCTGATGTTGTCAACTTTTTGAAGACCAAAGGATTCACTGGACACTTTGAAAGTGAAAGGGACTCATCCACAAAGTGGACATACTTCTTGGTAAAGTACATTAACTTTAATATAACAAATTTTATAAAAGAATACATGTTTGAAGAATTAGGAAGTAATGGAAACATGCATATGACATCCAATTTGTACAGCACGGGATTTATAAATTGTGAATTAGTCTAAAAAATATTTTTTTTCTCTATACTTAAAGCTTCAAAAAAGGCCGTCGAAATGCTAAATTATCACACAACTACAGATTTGGATAAGAACCAATAAAAACAACTTAGGAGGGACCAATATAAGTTGTATGAACTTACGGCACATTAAGGGGATGCACCATTTGTGAATTAGCTTTAAAATTAATTTTTTGTTCTCATAATCTCGAAAAAAGTCTATTATAGGAATAAATTGTATAATTGATCTAATTGTAAATTGATGAGTTACTAATGCTTTTAATCTTTTGTATAATTGATTAATTACTAAAACTTTTAATTTATTTTTTGCAGATTGGATTGGGGTGGCATTTTTGACGTGTAAGAATGATGTAATTTGCTTGAATGTTCATTTTTGTTTGATAAGGATGCACATACTTTTTGGAGTTGCACTAGCTATTGTTGAATTTTTAGTAGAATTAAACAAGTTATAACTTTTGAATACTTTGTAGATATTTTACTATTTTATTGTATTATGATGAAATTATTTGTAATGATGAATAGATATTTTCATTTTGTTAATTCGTAAATGTGTTGATAACAGGTTATGTTATGTTAATTTGTGATGGAATTGTTATATTCAACAGGTTTCAACATGAACAGAGTTATATTTGTTGACCTAAAATTTAGATTTTGATAAAATAGGTATATAATGTGGAAAAAAAATTATGAAATTATTGACAAAATTTTTCATCCTTAAAGAAGGTTTTTTTGTCTCTTATTTGGCTTAAGTGAATGATTAATTTTGTCATGAATTTTTTATTTCATCGCTAAATTTGTTATGACAAAAAATAGTCACATTTTGTCACTATTACCATCAATGTGTGACGAATTTTTTTTGACATTATTTTATCATTTTTAATGATGAATTTGTTTTTGTCTCTATTGGTAACTTCTTTGATAAATTTTTCGTCTTCGTTTATATTAAACGTGACAATTATTTTGTCTCAATTTCTTATATTTATGACAAAATACTTGTCTCTAATTTCTTCCTTTAATGACAAAATATTTTGTCGCTTATTACTTACAAGTATGTTCCCAACAGAGTGTATTAAAGACAAAAAAATTCGTCACAAATTTATCATTTTTAATGGTGAATTTGTTTTTGTCTCTATTTGTAGCTTCTTTGACAAAAAATTTGTCTTCGTTTATATTAAACATGACAATTATTTCGTCTCTATTTCTTATATTTATGACAAAATACTTTTGTCTCTAATTTCTCCTTTAATAACAAAATATTTTGTCGCTAATTATTTACAAGTATGTTCCCAACAAAGTGTATTGGAGACAAAAAAATTCATCACAAATTTATCATTTTCAATGACGAATTTGTTTTTTTGTCTCTAAGACCCTTTAGCGACGACCCTTTGGAGACAAAAATGGGTGACGAAAAATGTTCGTCGTAATTAGTTTGAGTGACGAAATATATACATTTTGGAACAAGTTTGTTTCGTCTTTAAATTCCAAATTTGTTGTAGTGCTGTGTGGTGGGAACCATGAATTCAACCTCACCAATTCATGGAAAGCAATACATTAAATAGATCAAAACCAGTCCATAGTAGTTTTTTCTTTCAATCCATATGTTATAAACAATGTAACGTCCACACTCTACAAGAATAAGGACAATTAAAGAGCTATTTGTATGCTGCTGCTATATAGGCTGCTGTTGTTTATACACTTTTAACCATTTCAAACCACATACTCCTAGTAACAGACAACAGATTTGAACATCTATTTAAATAACATATGTGAATGAAAAAGTCAACAAACAAAATTGGAAAGAAGAAGACTGATTGACTAGAACACAACCACTCAATAACAAGGTAGGATCCTCTAGAGTGAAATTTCCCTAAAGTTTCCTAGAGTGCTACATTGTGTGATTGAGATTTATTGGCAAATCACATCAAAAAAAATTGATGTGACTTGCCAGTAAATCTCAACCACACAATGTAGCACTCTAGGAAACTTTAAGAAAAAATCACTCTAGAGGATCCTTGCTCATACTTCAATACTATCAAATTTTCAAGTGCAGGAATCATTTCAGCAAAATATGCTAGCAAATTAGGAAAATTCACAGTTAAAATACCATCTACACATCATGATTTGGTGACCAAATTAAACATTGAATAGAGGCAATATTCATTATGTAAATATTTCTTTATTTCGTTTTTATTCTTTTAAAGCTTTATTCTATAAACTTCAATTTGGCTAGTTATAATTATTTATAAATGCAAAGTATCCTAAGAAAATATGAAACACAATATAGATCATATTTGGTTATGTTTCTCAACTCAACATGGTGCCTAACTCACTCAAGTATATATTAAACAAGCTTTAAAGACAAATACTTTGCTCCACATTATAAGGGATGATGTTTACTACCTTAAGGGGGGGAAAAAAAAAAGTGGATGATTGTAAGTTTTACTTTTCCCTTAGGTGTATATGTATCTTTGATTATATAATCTACACTATGCCTTTCTAGAATCTACTTCAAGTAAAGTTACCCAGAAAGTTTTTTATCCAAAAAAAAAAAAAAAAAAAAAAGTTAACCCAGAAAGTTAAATTTTCCTAGGATATGGTTGTTTAACATTCGTCAAAGAAGAATAGACAAGAGAGTTCATATTCTTTACAGATTCGAAACAATTTTTAAATTAAGAAAAATAATCTACTCAAAGTGAAGCATAGAGAGAAAAGTCTAGAATACAAACGCATGACAAAAGATCTCCATTCACAACTGGGGCTTCTAGCACCAATGAAAAGAAATCCTGTAATAATAACTCAGTTATCAGAATATTCTAGACTAATCAATATTAGCTCATAATTTAGTTTCTTCAAACCCAACATTATTTCAGAAAATTGTCAGCATTCAAAGGTATGAATTCAATATTAATGAGTTGGTGAAGATCAAGTCACAAAACAATAAAATGCCAGCCAAATATAAATTCAATATTAATTTATAAATTCCAGTCAAATAAGAAAATAATCCAGAAAAGAAACAGAAACGGAACAAAACAACAGATATAAGACAATAGGGGGTAGGCAAATAAATTGGTCATGTGCAATGAAGACCAATGCCTACCAACTACAATAAAAAGCAGCAATTCCAAAGTTGAAAGTGCAATAAAAATAAGTTGTAGGTGCATGAATTCATTTGTTTTTCTTTCTTTTTTGGACATTGCATGGTACATGAATTAATGGAGGTTATTTCCTAATTGAGAGTATTAAAAAAGTGATCAATTTTCTACCAATAATTGTTTTCTCTGAGCCCATCATCCCTGCATTTTGCACATCATATAGTTAAATAAAAATCAATTCGAGTAGTAAGAATAGTACAAGACAATTCGATTCATGGCAAGATGTACAAATTTTGGAGTACTAACAAAAATAAAAGAAACCTAGCAGCAAAGTATCAATGATGTCCATGAAAAGAACATATATACATTAACATATACTCTCTCAGTCTGGCAAAGCAAAGAGAAAAGCTAAATAAAAGGGAAAAACCACATACTCAAGGAGAAAAACAAAGTTCCTAAACCAAAAAATAAATAAATTAATTAAAATTATTATAGGTGAGGCAGTATTAGAACAAAAAAATTAAAAACTTATATCTGTGTCATATGGAGAATTACTAACAAATCATATACCACAACAAAATATATATCTATGTCAAACCTTGGAGCCAATGAAGTATTAGTCTCTTTGACAAATCCTCAAACAGCTTCTATGCACAAGTTTTGTATGCCCAGCAAGACCATCGTCTATCAAACACAAAGTAATTATGGAACATAGATAAATTGAAGTTGGGAAAAAAAAAAACAATACAATCAGGGGTCATTCTTTCCTTCCAACTCATCTGGGGAGAAAAATAAAAAAAATAAAAAATCAGGGGTCACTCCAATTCTATGATAAATTGAAGTAGTGTTTATGTAAAACAATTATAAAATACAATGGATTCATAAAATACTTATCTAATTCCTCTTCAAGATACCAATTCAACCCTAAGCAAATTGCAATTGCCAATTTTGTTCTTATCTAATTCCTCTTGCAATTGCTACTTTGCAAGAGAAAGAAAGGCATTTCATGTATATTACATTTGGTGAAATTGCTACTTTGAAATTGAAATTTTTAGATCAAGCATTTCAGTTGAAATTTTTACAATTTGTCTAGTTAAGAGGCAGAAACTAAACAGTATACAAAAACCCCAAAATTAAACAAAAATTTTTCTAGAATCCTAGCATTTATCAGTTACAATACAAACACCATGTATGTAGGTATAGAAATGTGTATATATAGAGAAACAAAGAGTAAAACTTTTCTAGAGGTGAGAGCAGCTACTACGCCATTCCAAAATAGTATGCAAAGAGGTGAAAGAAGGAGACATAAAAGGGTTCGGAAGGGATTCATGATTGAAAATTGAAAGAAAATTGGAAGAAAGCTTGAAACCTAGCAATCAGAGAGAAAAAGCTAACATTTTGGGAAAGCTCCATGGGGACTCAACCATTGATATACACACAAACAAACATGTAGATACATACATGTATATATATAGAGAGAGAGATATAGAAAATGAAATCAGAGTTCAGATCAAAGAAGTGTGAGCACTCTCACCTTCTAATCTATCAGGCCTCCATCACTCAGATCCTTCACTTTTCCACACGGTTTCTCTCTCTCTTTCAAATGTCTGATTTTTCTTTCTCTGCTTTCTCTCTCCCTCTCTGCCTTTTGGGGGAAAAGAAAAAAAAAATTAAAAGAACACAAATCATACCTAGACTGGAGGTCAAGAGTGGCAAGGCACCGGAACTGGTGGCGGAGGCAGAACAAGGGACGAATTGAATGGAGATGGAAGCTAGGGTTTTGTTGCCAGTTGGGAGTGAGAGAGTGACGAGAGAGAGAGAGAGTAACTCAGGCTATTGGGAGGAAGAGGGCCAACGATGGAGGAGAGGAAGCAAAGCTTTGGAAACATTCAAAATGACCTAATTTCATTATAAAATATGCCCTTTTGCGTTTTTGTGACCACAACTTACTGGTCGCCAAAGGTTTTGGGATCCCGCTAAAATGTTTTCACCCTCCCGCTATTACCTTTTGCGACCATAATACAGATCTGGCCACAAAAAGTTATTTATTAGCTACCAAATAATCGTTGGTCGCGAAAATGTAACTCGGTCGCAACCCCAAAAAAAAAAAAGTAGTTAGCAGCAGAAAGTAAATTATTTGCGACCAGCATGTGAAAGGTGATTATTAAAAGTGTTTTTTTTTTTTTTAAGTGAATAATGTAAAATTAGAAAATAACTCACAATGTCAAATTATTAAAATATTAAGGTCATTAAAAAAAAATTGTATAAACTAATATCGATCATAAGCTCAAGAAAATCAAAAAAGACTAAGAGATATGTCCAACAATTATAGTTATTTTTCGTCATCACCGTAGCTCTAACTAATCCTGCAAAGGAAGCTCAGTTGCGCTTAAATAGAACGCATCCAAGATGCCAAGAGACAAAACGAGTTAGCATACAAGTATATTAGTATGAGTACAAATATTTGACATCCACGTGTCCACCAGACACAAACAAAAGCACGTTAGCATACAAGTATATTAGTATGAGTACAAATATTCTTGTTCCGGGACGGTTAGCATATACATATGCGTGTAAATCAAAGCACTCGTCTACTCCTGAGAACGAGGCAACAATATATATATACACAACATCTCATCTACTCATGAGAACAAACATAACAATGTAGAGTCTAAGGCATTCAAATAATCTCATAATTCTCACTCTTTTTTTTTATACACTCTTACACTCTTTCTCACCAGTACTCAAATAAAACAATAATCCGTGGAGTCATAGTAGAGTATTCAGAATTTATCTATGGGTTCTTAATTGATTTTAATTTCATATAACCATGAGCGTGATTACAACCATAAAATAAATACATATAAAAATCCTAAGCCTTGTATACACAACTAATCAAAATAATTAAAATCACCCCATCAGCTTCATGTAAATACAATATCAAACCAATATCAAATAAACAAATAAATAAAAATAACAAAATAAATATAAATCAAGGGAAGTGGGTTTTACACTCATAATTATTTTTGAAGATCAAAGAATCACTTAGAGAATTAACGAAGTTACCAAAATAAAACACTAACCCCTTTTATTTTTGTCTCTCTTCCTCACCTTGCTTTCTTGTCTACCTCTCTCGACTTGTTGCCACCGCACATAGGGATAGCAATTTGAAACCGACCCGACGGGGAGGGGACAGTATTTGAAAATCAATCCCCGATTTATTTCGGGCCGGGGACGGTGATCAATGTTCAAGCCTCAGCCCGGCCCCGTCCCCAAATTTCCCCAAAATTAAATTACTTTTATACCCCATATATATATATATAATAAACCAAACCCTAAACCGTGCGTCACTCTCTCACTCTCGTCCTTCTCTCTCTCTCAACTCTCTCCCTCTCACAGCAGTAGCCTCTCATTCTCTATGTCTCTCACAGCACAATCACCGTCAACCTCACTCTCAACTCTCACTCTCGCCGACACTCCTCCCTCACCGCTGCTGTGCTCCCTCACCGCCGATCGTCCCACTCTCTCTCACACATACGACGGCGACGGCGATGGCTCATCCTCACTTTAGCACCGGCATCCCGGTTGCAACTCACCGACGGCTCATCCTCGCCACAGCCTCTCATAGTCGACCTCGCCGCAGCCTCTCCCTGTACTCAGATCTTGAGATTTTCAGATTATGATGATAAATCTGTTAGATCTATTAGATTGTTTTTTTTTTAATTTAAATCTGTTGATTATTTTTTTTAATTTAGATCTGTTAGGTTTTCAGATTATTTTTTTTTAAAATTTAAATTTGTTGATGATGATGATCTGATCTTGTTTGTTGTTGTTGAATATGAATCTGTGGTTGAAATTTTTTTGGGACTGAAATTTTTGGGACTGACAACAAATTAAACATAAATCAAGGAAAATGAGTTTTACACTTACAATATTTTTTTAAAGATCAAAGAATCACTTAAACAATTGATAAAATCACCAAAATAAAACCCTAATCTTTTTTATTTTCCACTCCTCTTTCTCACCTCTCTTTTCCGCCTCTCTTTTTTTTCCCCTCTCTCGGCTTGTTGCCGCTGCACAACCCTCCTTTTTTTTTATTTATTTTTTCTTTCTTTTCTAAAGGGCAGCACACTTAAACCTAATATATATTATTATACTATATTTTTCAAATACAACCTAAATACAACATATATAAATATAAATATCTTATATAAAATCTATATAAATCATTTTCTTTATATATATATATATATATACATAAAAATATATAAATATAAATGTTCAGATTAATTATATATGATTAACTAACACATTGAATTAACTAAATATCACATTAAATTCTCATGTAATCGCACAATAAAAATAATAATAATAATAATAAATGATGACTTAAGAAAAATTAGGGTCACTATAATATACACACCTGAAAAGAATCTCATCCCGAGATTCGATAGGATAGAGTATTAAGCAAAAAACTCCGGGTACATACAATTCCCAAGTGATATCATTCTTATCCTCGCTCCATTGCACTTTCACCAAGTTCACTTTCTTGCGTCGCAACTGCTTTGCATCCGGCCTAAAATAGTAACCAGTCGCACCACATTTGTTAGATCGTCACTAATCTCCAACATTTCTGGTGATACTGTGACACCCTGAGCGTTTACTTAAAAATATTGATAGTTATATATAATTGTGGGTGTATGTGATAATATATTATTAAATAAATAATAATAAATACAAAATCTAATTTGACATTGGGTTATCAAAAATGAGATTAATTAGGGATTATTATTTGGGCCAAATTAACAAAATATGGAATTATAATACTAGTTAGGTCAAATTAGAGTTAAAGATAGTAAATAAATAAATATAAAAGTAAGAGTAAATAAATAATAATATTTATAATAATAATAATAATAACAATAATAAAAATAATAATAATAGTGGGTGTAGTAGTAAAATAAATAATTAATTTTCTGTTGGTATATGATATAGTGTAATTTAATTAGGGATTAATTTATTTATATAGTTATGCTAGAAAATTGGGCAAAAGTGTAATTACTATAGGGCAAAAGTGTAATTACCATAAACATTCACTAAAGATAAGTATAAATCTATGGTTAGTAAAGAGCAAATCCAAGGTGAGTTATGAGCAAATCCAAAGGAGGATTCGAGCTGGCCACGTGTTGGCCTGATGATGTTTTTACCTCTCTATAAATAGGGAGGAGTTGATCAAATTGTGGGAAGAAAAGGAAAGGAAAAAAAGAGAGAGGGGCACGTAAGTTACTGAAAGTACGAAACTTATAGTAAGAAGGTTGTGATAGTGGAAAGTAAGGTCAAGGGTCAATATTAAGGTGAATTATATTATACCTTGAGTTACCATAATATATTTTACGAATGTTTTAACTTACCATAATTTATTTTATAGAAGTTATGTTTTATAAATTATATTAATATTTTAATTATGTGGATTATTTTCTAAACTCTATTTGTTTAAAATGAAACCCATGAATATGTTTGTTTAAATTTTAGTATATATTTGATTATGACCTTATAAACAATAATGTTTTGTAAGTACCACATCGGGAGTTCCACGCCTTGGGGACTTAAATAGCCATTGGTCTTTGTTTGGCTTCTTTGTGGTCATCTGTTTATCATGAATCTATTGACGTTTGTTCTGACTGTCACTTTTGTGACCACTATTCTGTTCTATTCTGTACCGTGGTGATGGTTATTTATTTATATAATTTTTGTAATTTCAGTTTCTGCCACTTAAATAATTTATTCACCAAATTGAGTAATGTAAATGTTTTGGCCTAACTAACTTTCCATGGTTATTTTGTATTCCCTATACTCTTGGCATAATATTTATCACTCTGTTGTGTGTTTATAGTTGTTACCATTTTAGGTGACGAGATGTAGGGGAAACCCATAAACTCACGTTATGAAACTCGCACGAGGATTGATATTGAACCACTATTTTGTCTTTTTTTTATATATATATATTTTCTCCCTTTTGTTTCTACTCGGGCCGGTCACTGAATAATAAAATAATAAAAGCCCTATAAATGTATTTTCTCTTATTAAAATAGTAAAATGGAGTAATTTCTTGTTTAATTATTTTTATTTCCGTTTGCACAGTTTAATTTGCTACGAATAGAATAAGTTAGTAAGTTGCGATTCCAACCCTAAGCTCCTGCGGTTGGGTCGTGACAAAGGTGGTATCAGAGCAATGGTTCAAAAAAAAAAATGCTATTTTAATTTGATCAGGAAGTTTAAAAAGTTATAAATAAATCTATAAATAAAACTATATAGCTAAATAAACATAATAAAATTAAATTAAATTAATAATAAATATTTACCTGTAACGTTAGCTATTTTGTGTAAAATCTCACGTTTTTTTTGGTGATGTAGGAATGTCAGAGATTAACCTCGATGATGCGTTTTGAGATAAGCTCGGGGCCATTAATTTAGATGAAATTTTAGCCGAGTACCCCAGCCCCGCCTCACCTGAGGGTTGGGGAGATTCAGAGGAGATAATCAGAGGACTAAATCCAGGCATTGCCCAATTGATAGGTCAACCAATCTATATACAGGCTGATCCTATCGATGTCCCACATTTACTATGGAGGCAAAGCCATGCCGATACACGCGGACATTTTCTTGGACCCACTCGTGTCCTTGGCATTGCCCCGGGACATGACCGCCCGCACGATGAGATTATGCATCGATTACCGGGAGCTGAACAAGGTCACCATCAAGAATCGGTACCCTCTGCCACGAATCGATGACTTGTTCGATCAACTTCAAGGCGCCCAATTATTCTCCAAAATCGACTTGCATTCTAGCTACCATCAACTAAAAGTCAACACAGAAAGCATCAAAAAGACTGCCTTCAGAACCCGTTACGGGCACTACGAGTTTCTTATCATGTCTTTTGGTGTCACAAATGCCCCAGCAGCCTTCATGAACTTCATGAATCGAGTGTTTAAACTCTATCTTGATGAGTTCGTCATCGTCTT